TGTTTTTTTTTTTTTTCCACATGTAATAGAAAAATATTGCTAAAGGGGTATTTGTAGAGCTTGTCTGACTCTTAACAGTTTACTAATTTTGTGAGTGGGGCAAATACAGTAATATCTATGCTTCCCTTGCCTCATCTTTAAAATAAATATACATCATACAGCTGCTTGGATATGAAGTGGATTTATACAGATAAGTAGGTACCTGTACAAAGTAAACTCAAGTCTTCGTCATTTGTTTTGATTACCCAATGCTATGTAATAAATCACCTCCAAATTGATTTATTTTTCTTTTGGTTTTTGTTTTGTTTTTTTGAGAAAAGCTCTTGCGATGTAGTTTGCTATGTAGCCCAGCTGGCTTGAAACTTTTGTCATCCTTCTACCTCGGCCTTCTGAATGCTTGGACTGCCATGCCCCGCAGCACCCCCAAAATTTAGTGAGTTGAAACAACCATTTCATTTCTTAGGATTCTCTGGCTGCCAGGCTGAGTTGGATAGTCTTGAGCTGTCAGTGCATCAAGTAGCTGTAGTCAGGTGGCATCAGATCTGGCTGGAAGATATGTGGTTCTTTGAAGGGCATGGCTGCAAGTCTTGGGTTCAGCCCAATGACTGGGCAGCCTGATGACTTTCCCTCTGCATGTAGCCTTTTTGTGTGGTCTCCAGTAAGGTAGCCAGATTTCAGGGGCCTTTGAAAGCGTCAAAGCTCACTGTGGTGGCACGTGCCTGTAATACTCACGAGGCTGAGGCAGAAGGATTGCCTAGAGTTGGAGGACAGCCTGGGTTATATAGTGAGTTCACAGCTAGTCTGAACTACATAGATCCGGTTTCAAAAACATGTATAAAAATTAAAAATAAGCAAATGAAAGCACCAAAAAAATGAAGCTGCCAGGCTGGAATTGGTTCATTGTCTATCACCAGTGCATTCCGTTGATTAAGTTGCAATCCATTGAGATGATATGCTTCATTGGGGGCCGTTTTTGGAAACTATCCACACCATTATTAATATTTTACTATTTTCTCTCCCCTTTGTGTTAGTATATGCTTGTGATACATAACAAATAGTGTGTGTTTATCCTGAGGAATTGGTACATACATATTGCATCTTGATCCTTTTTACTTCTCCTTCCCCTCCCATTACTGTTAATGTTACCATCTGATAGATTTCAGGCCGGCGGTGCAGAAAGTAATAAAACAATAAAATGCCTTTATTTCAGGGCACGGAGAAGATTACAGAGAGAAAATCTTCTGGGGGGGCGCGCCGGGCTAAGGGAACAATGGTTAAATATGGTCAGGCTAGAGGCGGGGTTTAAGGGGTGGGCTAGCTGATGTGGCAGGCTAGCACTGGGTAGGAGCGTGGGAAAATGAAACAGGATATTGCATAAAGGGGAGTAGGAAGTCGTAATTTGACTCCAGGAAGAAAGGTGGGGCTTAGCACATGGCCTCTAGGCTCCAGTGCCATATTGGCCATGGCATATAGTCTCCAGTAGGTGGCGCCACAGCGATTCTAAAGGAATTATAGTAATGGAAAAAACCTATCACCATCCACCATGTTGCTGTGCCATGTTGCCCTAAAGTTGCCAGTTTTGAATGCTGGGAATATATACACATATGTATAACATATATAGACAAATACATATATTTTTGTGGTGCTGTGGATTGAACCCAGGGCCTTGTGCATGTTAATATCCTTGTGCATGTTAATGTAACTGACCCTGCAAAAGGGAACTTTAATACAGTAGTTTTTTTTCCTTTAGAGACAGTTTACTTCTCCAACTGTCCTCAGGCCTAGAGCATAAACTGCCACTCCCCACCTCTCAGCTGTCAAGTCAGTTTCATTCCCTTAGGCTAGGGGGAGAGGGGTCCCATCCAGGAATGGAGCAAGCCTGAACAAGTCTAGGGTTCTTTTTGTCCTCTCTGGACTGTTGCGTGCTGTAAAGACCCCAGCACACCTATATGTGTGAGATGGCGATTTGAGGCAAATAGGTTCCTCCATCTCCTCGGAGCTGGCTTTGAATAAACCTTTTTTCCTCTGTACCAAGATAAATACTTCTTTGGTTTGGTCAGCAGTGAGCAAACAGACCTGAGTATGAAATTTAAGTGACCCATAACACTAACTGCATGTATTAATGAACAGGGAGATAGAAGTCTCTACCCATTTTTAGCTTTTTTTTCTTTTTTTAGCGTAAGTAATTAAAAATCTGTAGTGTATTGGTTGGTAAGAATAGTGAAGGAAAAGCAAGGAAGGAGACAGGGAATACTGAGATTTGGGACTTGCATTTTTAAAAGTGGATGGTTGCAGCCGAGGGTGTGCCTGTAATCCTAGCACCCTGGGAGGCTGAGGCTGAAGGATTCCAACTTTGAGTCCAGCCTGAGCAATTTAACAACTCTGAAACAGTCTCAAAAGTACCAAAAAAGGTTACTAAATCTTAGAGTCTCCGAAGTGCTGTCTTTTTGTATGTTAATGACTATTGGCTGGCAGCCCGTAGGTGCTGTGGCATGGGGGCTACTCACCAGGAAAACTGGCAGGATTAGTGGGGCCTTTTCAGCCCCACCCTTCCAGCTGTGTGTGTGTGTGTAGGGGGGAGAGATGGCAGGGAGGAGTGGGGCGGGGCCTGATAAGTTGATCTGATGCCAGTTAGGCCTGTGAATGAATGTCCTGGAACTGTGTCCCGGAGCACAGTTTGCCCAGAGAGAGCCTGGAAACTTCACACCCATGAGGCTGTCCTTGTGCATCTCCAAGTGGTGTGCATTGTTTAACCTGTAATAAATTATAAATGTGTTTCCCCAGGTTCTGTGAGTGTTTAGCGAATTGATCAAACCTGAGAAGATCAAGGGAATTTATAGCCAGTCGGTTAAGCACAGCCGTTGGTATTGAAGTGGGGGGCAGTCCTGAGGGACAGTCCAGAACCTGTGGGATCGGATGCTATCTCCAGTAAGAGTTAAAGGACACCCAGGCATAGTGGTGCACACCTGTAATCCCAGCGCTCAGGTGGCTGAGGCAGGGGGATCACCTTGAGTTCAAGGCCAGCCTGAAGTCCTGCATAGCAAGACCCTGTATCAAAAAAAAAGAGGACACTCAACCCAGGTGCAGAATTGGTTTGTTGTACTTCTGGGTGACCACAGATCATAGATAGAAGTTTTCTGTGTTGATTGTTGAGTGAGAATATAAGAGAAACAGTTTATTTTTATGCTGTCTGAGGTATCTGCTGAGTTGAGGCACACTCCTATAATCTCAGTTATTCAGGAGGGTGAGGTAGGAAGATCTCAAATTTGAGACTAGATGGAACAACTAAGCAAGATGCCTGCTGAAGGAAAGAAGTGAGGAGGGGCGGGGATACAGTGGCAGAGTGATTGGCTAGCATGCGTTCAATTCCCAGTACCACAAGAGACAGGAAAAACGAGATATATTGGATTAGTATAGTAATAGTGGGAGTAGTGAAAAGTGGTTAGATTTTGGATGTCTTCTGGAAGATAAAACCTAAGAATTTGTTTATAGACTGGGTGTGGAATGTAATGATGGCTTCAGGGTTGTTGACTTGAGCAACTGGAAGGATGGAATTGCTGTTTACTGAGACTGTGCAGGTTTAAGAACAAGATTAGTTTAATTTTTGTAATGTTAAATTGTTTAAATTAAACATGTTAAACATGTTAATGTTTAAATTTTGTAATGTTTGAAATGTCATTTAAAAACCAGCTTTAACCCGGTGTGGTGGAGCACCTCTGTAACCTCAGCACTCTGGAGGCTGAGACAGGAGAATCTCTGATTTTGAGGCGAGGCTGGTGTACATACTGAATTCAAGGCCAGCCTTAACTGCATGATCAGACCGTGTCTTAAAAAAAAAAACAGAAAAACAAGAAAAGAGAAAAGCCAGCTTTAAAGCTGTAAGTTGTGCCTATATCCTTTTGGCTTCCTGTTTTTGTTTTTGTTTTTATTTTTGTTTTTCTCCACGTGGTAACAAGATTTGAGGGAGGCACATCTCATGCAGATGGCAGGAACACCCAGTCATCAGGCTCATGAACCGAAGGGTGGCTCGGGGAGGAATTTATATACTTTGTTGTTAGCTTCAGCACTGTGAGTTTTTCTAGGCTCCTTTCACCCTTTCCCTGATGTGGCTTAAGTCACATTTTCATGACTGGTAGTTGAATGTCACCTATTTCTTAGAAAAAGGCTTAAAGGCAAACTCAAGTTTACTTGAAAATTTTATTTTCCTTCCATTTGTATGTGTTTCAGGAGGAAAAGTAGAGAGTGAAAACATTTAAGTTTTATTTCAATTTGTGCTGTATCTTTTCCCTAGTGATACATGTCTGTCTTGGTTTAATCCCATTTTGTAGGAGACTTCTGGTTGACCTGCCTTTTTTTTAGGTTTGTTGCATTGGAAAGCCACCTTAACTGGTATTGAAAATACTCTCACTTTTTCATAGCTGCCTCTTGCAGACCAGTTCCAACACACTGCGGGAGGAGGTTTTCCTGAAGTTCTCAGGGATGCTTTACTTATCTTGATAATTCTCCAGCTCTTCTGTCTTTGAGAGGTTCTCTTGAGCACCACCCAAAGGAGAAGATAACTGATACCATCTGATTAGTAGCCCTGGGAAGTAGTAAGATGTAAATGTGACTTTCACTGAAACAGTTTGCTCATTAACATCAGTGAGGTTGGAGCATGCCCAAACCTGTTGCTGCTTCAGGCTTCACTTGAGGGAGGAGGAGATGGTTCTTATTTAAGCACTCTAGGAATTTGCAGTTTTTTCTGAACTGGAAAGTTATGTGTAGAGAATTTCAGCATGGGTGTAGAGTGCTGTGATACATGTGTTACAGTGTTTTGTTTTTTGTTTGTTTTTTTGTTTTCTTCTAGTACTGGGAATCAAACTCACAACCTCGCACTTGCCAGGCAGGCGATGTGCGGCTGAGCTAAATCCCCAGCCCTGTTACAGTGTTTTTATTTTTACTTTTTTTTTTTTCTTGCTGGCATAATTGTTTCTTTATATATCTATTTTTTTTACTTTTAGTTTTATCGACAGACTGAACTATCTTCACTGCCAAAATGACATCATATTCCACCTCTGCCCAGTGTTCAACATCTGAGAGTGCTTGCAGGATCTCTCCAGAGCGAATCAACCAGGTAGATCCTTAGTGGCCATTCCTGTTTTTCTTCATAAATTTGTAAAAAATTGAGTTGAGGTATATAACAGAATGCATTTTTTTGGTGTTTTTTTTTTTTTTTTTTCTGGTACTGGGAATTGAACTCACAACCTTGCGCTTTGCGCTTGCCAGGCAGGCGCTGTGCTGCTGAGCTAAATCCCCAGCCCCAACGGAATTCATTGACTAGAGCTTATACAGAAGTGGTTATTTTTTAAAAACGTTACAGTAGCGAAATGGTTGAACAGTAGCAGTGCTCATACATTTGAATTGCTTATTGAGTAAATATGTAGCGATTGAGTAAATATGTAGTAAATATGATGATTGCTCACACTGGTAATTTGGAAAACTGGCAGAGTATTTTACGTTAGATGTGGCTAGTAGGGAGTTTGGGGCCAGGTTATGTGAATTTATTTTCTGTCGTTTTCATTTTGTTATACTTTGTTTTCTGTAAAAATCAGTTTTTAAAAATTATAAATTTATAATTTAAATTTGTGTAGTGGTAAATACCTGTAATCATAGGGTGAGGCAATATGAATGAGTTTGAGCTCTTTCTGGGTGATTTAGCAAGACTTTACCTCAAAATTTTATCTTATTTTTTACTTTTGGGTTTTTGAGACATGGTCTTGCCATATAGTTCAGGCTGACCTTGAACTCACTGTGTATTCCAGGCTGGCCCAAACTTGTGGCTTTCCTCTTGCTTCTGCCTCCTGAGTGCTGGGGTTAGAGCTGGGAGTATAGGTGTATACTGCCACACTAGGCTTCTAGCTAAAAATTCTAAAAAGGGCAGGGGATATAGCTCAGTGCCACAGGGCAGGAGCGGGTTGAGGACCTTGTACAAAACCAAATCCTAGATGGATTAAAGATTTAAATGTAAAAATGAAGTACATATTGGGAGAAAAATGTATGAAACATATGAAACTTTAGAATGGGACAGGTCTTAGGGTGAAACTGGGGATTGTGTAAGAGGAAGAAAGAAGTTTGACCATAGAAAATTCAAAAAACAAAATTGTACACTGTGGGCACATAGCATTGCCAGTGTGGAAGAGTGAGCAATTCTGAGCTGACTCTGGCTGTATCGTGAGTCTGGGTTGAGGTGGCAGCCATGGTCACTTGTGCGTTCCTGAGGATGCCTGGATGGATGCTCATCTTAGGTATTCAGAAATGATGGGAGCTGCGAGCCAGGTTTATGTAGCACAAAGTGAGCTGTGTGGGATTACCAGAATTCCAGCCCATCTGCCTCTGGATACTGAGATAGAAGGGGCCGGGCTGCAGACTGTGGTACAGTATTTGTACCTCTTTACTCCCTTCAGTCATAACAGGATAAGGGAGATCTTGAAAATTACAGGGTTATCCAGGTTTGCTGGTGTCTTTTGGTTTGTCTTAAGTCCACAGTAGTCCATCATAGAGTTACTGATGGATTTATTCTGCTGGAATATATAAAATAATATCTAAACTTCCCATGAATTGTATCTGAGATCTGTTATCGTAGACATGGGGTTAACTGGTCTCCGTTCCATAAGTTTTCTTTCTGAAGAGTAGAAGTTTCCCAGATGGAATAATTTTTATTGTTCACAGTGTAGGGTAGTTGTTCTAGACCTTCTAATGTGTGGACAGTTTAATTATAGTTGTATGTAGGGTTATGCAAGGACACGCTCTGGAGACCCCTGTACTTCTCTTGTCTCACACATTGCTGCCTCTTTGTTCTTTGCTACCACTGTTAGCTCATTGTTGAAACTGACACTGCTTTCCTTGTTCAGTGCTCCGGTGCCTTTTGCCTACCACAGCAAGTTTGAGATGGCATTTTACATATGCTTTGATAACACCTGGAGAATTTGTGACTGTCTCATTTTTTATACTCAGTAGAAAGTAAAAAGAGTTCTTTCATTTGGTTTTCCTGTTGCATTTACTGTTTTTTTTTTTTTTAGACAGGCTTTCACTATATAGTTCAGGCTAGCTTTGAACTCACTATGTAGTCTAGATTGGCCTCTAATTTGTGGCAGTCCTCCTGCCTTAGTCTCCAGAGTGCTGAGTTTACTGGTGTGCGCCACCACACCCAGCTTGCACTTGTTAACTTCCTTTTTTGGTTGATTTTTTTTTTTTCCGGTACTGGGGATCAAACTTAGGACCTTGCGCTTGCCAGGCAGACACTTGTACCACTGAGCTATATCCCCAGCCCCTTCTTTGGTTGATTTTAAATTAAAACTGAAAGTATGTTTATCCAGAATATAAACTTACATGTCTGAATTAACAGGGACCAGAGAAGTGGGTCTTTTTTCCATCCTTTTTTTTTTTTTTTTTTTTTTTCATTTTTGGTAGTGGTACTGGGGAATGAACCCAGGGCTGAGTCACTGAACTACATCCACAACCCTTTTTAAAATTTTTTTATTTTGAGACAGGGTCTTGCTAAATTGTCCAGGCTGGATTTGAATTTAGGATCTTCCTGCCTCAGCCTCTCAGACTGCTGGGATTACAGGCGTGTACCACCACACCTGGTTTTCCTTTCCATTCTTGTCACATCTCTCATTATTATATCCCAGCTGTAATATTGGAGAATGATGGGTAGTAATAGCCTTAAGAATGTTGTTATTGGGCTGGTGATATAGCTCAGCAAACCTTCTGTATAGAGCCAGAAAGGAAATATTTTAGGCTTTGTAAGCTGTACTGTGTCCATATAACTTCTCAACACTGTTGTTTGTAGCATAAAAACAGTCATAGGCAGTGTGTAAACAAGTGGGAATGGCTATGTTCCAATAAAAGTTTGGCTTACAAATGTGGGGCAGGCTGTAGTTTGCCATTCCCTAGTCTAGGTAAGTAGTTGATAAAAAGATACACATGAATGGTGCATTTTGTAATCATTAAAAATTAGTAATGAATATAGACATTATATCTGAAAATAGAACAAAACCATCCACATTTATGTGGCTAAAGATTCCACAACCTCCACAGTCAAGAGTCAAAATATGGCAAAGATACATGTACCACATTTTATTTATCCGTATATTCACTGATGGACATTTTGGGTGCTTCTGTCTTCTGTGCTGTTTGGGAATACTGCTGCTGTGTACACTGGTGAACAGACATTTAGTTTAGTCCTTGCTTTCAGTTTTTTTCATATACAGCTAGGAGTGTTACATGGTAATTGTGTTTAATTTTATGAGAACTGCCAAACTATTTTCTACAGCAGCTATACCATTTTACATTTCCACCAGCAGTGCATAAAGGTTCCAGTTTTTCTGTATCCTCACCCAAAACTTACTTTTTCATTTCCTTTCCTTCATTTCATCGTCCTTCTGTCCTTCCAGTATTTGGATTGAATCCATTGAATTCAGTCTTCCCACTGAGCTACATTCTCAGTCCTTTTTTGTTTTTAATTTTGGGACAGGGCCTTACTAAGTCACTAAGTTGCCCAGACTGGGCTTAAACTTGAGAGCCTTCTACCTTAGCCTCTCAGAGTGCTGGGACTACGGCACGTGCCACAGGCATGTCTGGGCAACACTTACTTTCTTTAGTAAAAAAAAAAAAAAATGTAGCCATTCTTGTGTGAATGTGCTTTTTTTTATGAATATGATTTGTTAGAAAGCAGCAGCTAATAATCATCCATAGTTATTTTATATATTGGAAGATTGTGCTTTATCAGGTGAAAAGTGTTCCCTAGGATTTTTTAAAATGCATGTAAGGAAGTTTTCTTGTTCCTTAGGACTTCAGAAGCCAGTCTAATTGTAAAGTAAATAGATTTATTTGCTGTGTTTCTGTCAGGTACGACCAAAACTGCCGCTTTTGAAGATACTGCAGGCAGCAGGTGCACAAGGTGAAATGTTCACTGTTAAAGAGGTAAGACAGCAAAGAAGTTCTCAGTTTTAAGAACAGTTGAGAAGTAGAATGAAGAAAATACATAGTTCTGAAATCAGTTCTACACCTAGGCTTTTATGGGGCAACTTTACTCCATTTTAAAGACCATCCTGCTAAATTGAACTTCATATTTCCTTTAGAGTTCCTTTTAAAGTGTCTCGTAAATATAAGATTAACAATGAATTCATTGATCTCAGAGTTAAAAGGCAAACATGTGCAGCTTAAAAATGACACTGATTTACAAGATACTCAGCCAGGCCTAAATTTGATGCAGTGGTGTTTCATTATAAATATGTCAGATACCCTTCTGAGCACTGTAAGTTATTTTAAATTCTTATGCATTTAAATAACTTATTTAGCTTCTAAAGTTTTTTTTTTTAAATAAAAACAAATTAATTCCTTAAGTAGAAAAGACTCAACATTAAAATGTTCGTTTCTTGAAACTGTTTGCATTTAGTGGGGTAGATAGCTAGTCCTTCGTGAATAGAGGAAACAAAAATACTAAGTTTTTTTTTCTTTTAAGTGAAAAGCTCCATACCTGTCAGTACTGCTGCATTCCTAAATCATTGTGCCTCTCCAGGAAGTAAATCTGGAGACATTTCTTCTTTCTGTTTTGAGCCGGAGGTGTTTCTTTTTTTTTTTTAATGCCCACGTTTCCATCTTTTATTTTATTTTTTTGAGGTGCTTGGGGATGGAACCCAGGGGTTTGTGCATGCTTAGGCAAGTGCTCTACCGTTGAACCACATCCTCAGCAACCCCCACTTTTGTAGTGAGTAACTACATTTATTGAAGATCACAGGATGGTAACAGGAAGCAGGAGAAGGGTAAAGGGAAAAAAGGACTCAAGGGCAAAGGGAGAAAAAATGGGCCAGCCCCCTTGTTTAAATTGAGTGTACCATTTTGGACGGTATCTCTAAAATTCTAATACTGTACATAAGACTTACTTGAACTGTTACTAAAGTATGGATTTATACTACCATTAAAGTTATTAGGATGAATTGTGCCATTCCTTCGTTTGCATAGCAGAAACTGTTACTAAAGTATGGATTTATACTACTATTAAAGTTATTAGGATGAATTGTGCCATTTCTTCATTTGCATAGCAGAAACGGTTACTAAAGTATGGATTTATACTACCAATGAAGTTATTAGGACAAATTGTGCCATTTCCTTTGTTTGCATAGTAGTCTGCCTGTGCTTACAGGATGAGTTTTTTTTTTTTAAGAACTGTAAAAGGGAATTTCTTTTTTTTTTTTTTTTTTTAATATAGTTCTCATTATGTACATTGAAGCAGTATGACACGATGAGAATAGTAGTATCATGTACATTTAGGTTAGTGTTTTATTTTATTTATTTATTTTTTTGGTACCGGGAATTGAACTCAGGACCTTGTGCTTACCAGGCAGGCGCTTATGCCACTGAGCTATCTCCCTGGCCCTAGACTAGTGTTTTAGAAAATTCTATTTTAAATACTTGGAGTTGAATTATTTTTTTTCTGGAAATTGGATGGCTACAAGGAATGTCCTCCGGTCTCTTCAGGGACGTGCTTTTTTTCATCTTATTTTTCCTAGCTGATCAGATCTGAGAGCTCAGCTAAGTTGTGAATACTGAAACATGTTTAGGGGTATGACTAGGAGTATCACTGTGCTGGTTAATGGGAGCCCTGTTAGAAAAATTCTGTACAAGATATTTAATAATTGCTGAGAAATTGGGCCTAATGATAAAGATGGCTATTTTGGTCTGCTTGTGTGTTCTGTGATAAGAACGTAATCATGAAGTAAAAAAATGGTTTTAGTCTGCTAGCTTTAGAAAAACATTTCTTTTCAATAAATTTAATTAATTTTATAATAAAATTTAGCTGAGTCTATTGGCAAAAAGAACTAGCCTAGATAACATAGTAAAGGTTATATGAAATGCTTCATCTCCATTTTAAAGTTTTGAATCGTGAACTTAACTGTGTTCCTTTACATTTTGTGGTGTCTGTGGTAAGTGCCAAATAGATTAAGTATTTATTTATTGAATGCCTACATTCTTTCTTGTGCACATACAGTGCTGATGTATTATTAACCATTGTACATTTGCCAAAAAGAAATAAGTGGATAAACATCAAAAGCCTGGTTATGTGCCCCAGGACTTGGAAAGTATTTTTTCGGCCCAGGCATATTTAAAGTTTATTGCCTCTGGTGATAGAACAGACTCCTTTATTTGAACTGGTAAGAAGAATTTTAAGGGAATACTACATAAATTCATCATTTTTTTTCATTGTGACATCATTCATGTCTGGGCTAAAAAGTCAGGTCTGTTGATGGCCAGAAAGATAATGAGCGGGTCACCTAGTGATTGTTGTGTGACCCTTCCTACATACCCTTCGGAGCAGGGTACCTCCTCTGACAATCTTGTGTATGTTGTTTCTTTCACTAGCAAACTTCCTTACCTGTTTCCTCATAATTAACGTGTGGTGGTGGTAGCTGCTGGACAGATCGTTTCATGGTATTTCATTCCCATGTAGGTAATGCACTATCTTGGCCAGTATATAATGGTGAAGCAGCTTTATGATCCTCGGGAGCAGCATATGGTATACTGTGGTGGAGATCTTTTGGGAGAACTATTAGGACGTCAGAGCTTCTCCGTGAAAGATCCAAGGTAAAAAGGACAGGTTGTATATCTCTTTGAGTGCTTTTACCTACCCACTTAATCTGTCTGTGTTATTAATGATTATTATGGTCCCTTTAGTAAGCAGATAAGGACCTGCATCTATTAGGCAGTGAAGCACTGGGAATACAGTAGTGAACACACAGTCTAGTTTTACAGAGCTTACAGAGTTGTGAGACAGTCAGATAATTGTGCTACTGTGTGGTACCAGTACACTGTGGTCAGTGTTGCACAGGAGCTCTGTACATGAAGTCAGTGGTGGGTGGCAGTTTTAGAGTGTGAGAGGACGCTTTGATCTTTGAGCTGTAGGGCTGAGTTGATTATAGGAGCTTAGTTGAAGGATTGCTTCAGATTGAACATCATATGTGAAAGGTTAGTGTTGCTAGGTTAGGGTTTTGTGAATTAGTTGTGCGGAGAAGAAGTGAACAGGTAGAGAAATGTAGAACTGCATGGCTGTTTGAGGTAAATCCTAAGCCTGGTAAGAGTAACAGTAGAAACTGGATTTGATGGTGCCTGTGATCCTAGCACTTACGAGGCTGAGGCAGGAAGGTCACTGAGGGTTTGAGCCCATCCTGGGCTACATAGTGAGTTCAAGGCCAGCCTGAACTATGTAGTGAGATCCTGTCTCCAAAAAAACCAAAAAAAAAAAAAAAAAAATCATAGTAGAGCTAATTTGACCTAGGTGTGACTTTCTCTAGCTGCACGGGTGTGTGGTCATTAGTTCATTTAGACAAACTAGTTAGTAATTGAGGAGTCAGTGTTCATTCTTTCTCTAGGTTAGTGTAAAAACTGCTTTCTCCTCAGCTCATTTGTTTTACAGTATTAAGAATCTCTTCCATTTCTACTCTTCAGTTAAAATTTTAAATCTAATTCTTAACATATAGGGGTAATTTCCAAAGGAAATATCTCCAGTTAGGTTGGTTACTGTTATTAATGAGATAAAATGTATATATTGAAAAGCTCTTTAATGGGACAAAGTAGCACAAGAGTCTGGGCATTAACATCTTAATATTTAAATAATTAAAACAAAATAATTTTTTCTTCTTTTTTTTTGTTTTTGTTTTTTTTCCCCGGTACCGGGGATTGAACTCATGATCTTGCACTTGCTGGGCAGGCGCTATGCTGCTGAGCTAAATCCCCAGCCCCCTAAAACAAAATTTTGAGCCGGATTTAGTGGCACACTCTTATAATCCCAGCACTCAGGAGGCTGAGGCAGGAGGACTACTGCAAGTTTGAGCTAGCCTGTGCTACATAATGAGTTCAGGGTCAGCCTGAACTGTAGTTATGTATAATCAGATACTGTCTAAAACTGCTCCCTCCCCAAATTTTGGAGTTGGATGAGGGATAGCATTCCAGAAATACATTTAATATTTACTAGAAAGCCTCTAATATCTTCAGAATGCCATTTGGAGTTAATTTTTGTTTCTTTTTCACAGCCCTCTCTATGATATGCTAAGAAAGAATCTTGTCACTTTAGCTATGGCTACTACAGGTATGTCACATATCTCTTCAGTCTGTATCACAGCTTTGAGTTCAGGAGGGAGGGCCAGTGCTGGGGTTGCTTCCAAGATGGAAGTGCTGTCTGGTGTGACTGGGGGCACATATACTATCTGTGCTATAGGTCGGTGTACGTGATTCAGCTTTTCATTGTGAAAAATGTCGAACCTACTGAGCATAGAAAGATGCCTACCTTTTAGACATAGCAATTGTTAACATTGTCATATTTGCTTCATCTAGACAACTTTTAAGTCTCTAACTGATAAGGGCTTTTTCCTTCAGACATAACTGTAGCATCCTAAATATATCCAACAAAGGTAATAACAAACAAAATTAATAATTGTTCCATAATCCTCTTTGATAAGCCAGTGTATGGTTTATTTTCCCCAGTTATCTAGAAATTTTTTTTAGAAAAGTTTTATTTTTGACCTGTTCAAATTAAGGTGCAAAGACCATACATGTTGCATTTGGCTGATAGATCTGATGAGTGTCTTTAATTTAATCCACTTTTTTATGTGAGAATATATGTGTTTGGATTGGTTTAATTAGTAACTTTATTCAATAACAAAAACTTTTGTCTTTTTAAAAAAATCACACATTAACTGCTCGTATTCATGGATTATGGAATACAGTATATAATGATCAAATCAGGGTAATCTACATGTGTCACCCTGAACATTTATCAATTCTTTGTGTTGGAAATATTCAAAATCCTCTCTGAGGTAATTAGAGATAGACAATAAATTACTAACTACAGTCACTCCATTATGGTATAGAACACTCCTTTTGTTTTCATATTATTTATTTATGGAAGAAATAGATCATTTGTGGAGAATTTTCCACATTCTTGAGTTGGCAGATTGTATCTTCATAATTATTTAACTTCTTTATCCTCCCTATTTTTGGTAAGCTGGTAGTGCTTGAAGAGATTCCAGTTTAAATTTCTTTGCCAAGAGATCTTTGTAGGTGGTGATTTGTACTTTTATTTCATCACATCTGAGTCATATGAGGTCTGCCTCTCCCTCTGTCAGTTGTGTTAAGATTCTGTGGGCTCAGGTGCTCTAAGTCTGATCTACCTGTTACAAAGGTTCTCCCAAGAACCTTTAACCTAATCTGAATGCTAATTTATTTAACCCTTTGTTTGATTCTAAACCTTTTAAATACTGCCCTTTGAGTTTATTCGGTGTGCACAGGAAACTGGTTGCTTTGGAGTCTGTCTCCAAGGTGGTGGTGTGGTGGAGATAGGTGAATAAACTAGACACAACTGGAATGTAACTCCTAACTTTCATTCACTTCACAGAATGACGCCCCTGCCCCTACCTAAAGACCTTTCCTTAGCTTCAAATTAGATTGTAGGGTACATTGTCCTTTGAAGAAAGAACATGTAATCTCTTTAAATTGGCTGTGTTTACTGAAATAGATGTAAAAGAATCCATTTCAAATAAAGATTTATGCTTTTAGGTAGGGAAGATTTTGTTCTCATGCTGAAACATGATTTTGAATTTTTATTGACTCTTTAGGAGTTCAATGCTCGGGATGGAACCTACCACCGAACTACATCCCCAGCCCCCAAACTTACATTGACTTTTGAAGCCTACTCATTTCATAGAGCCATTTATCTATTTTACCCACTCTGCAGCTGTGCATTTCTCTTTGGGAGGGAAAGCCTTGTAGCTGCTACAGTAGCTTTATTGAAATTCAGTCATTTATGAAATAATATGACTTTCCTGGGATAGTTTCTGGTGGCTTGAAGTATATGGAGAATTTTATAAGGGCTGATCGCTTTCATTAAAATTTGTTTTCTGATGGATCTGTTCTCTGAATATCTGGAGTAGATACAGTTCTCAACTTTCCCTTCTCATTTTTTTTTCTTTTAAAAAGCATTTCTGTAATAAACACTACAATTCATCCTCACAAAAACCCTATGAGGAGGAGGGTCAGGAGATGAAGAAACTTTTTTTGTTTAATAGTATAACTGATTTGCCCAATGTCAGATGCCACTGGTAAGGGGTAGAGCAGAGATTTCTGACTGGCCAGGCCTTGCTCTGCCCATTATGCCACACATTGGTGTCTCCTTCACCCGTTATTGTAACAGAATTGGCCTTTTCCCCATTGTTTTGGACTTTTCTTTCCTCTGAACATTGTCTTTAAAATGTTTTTATTATTTAATTTAGCATTTTGAAAAAAATTTGGATTTAAAAGTTGCAAAATATAGTTTCCTGATGCCCCCATGGCAACATTACAGTTACTAAAACCAGGACACTGCCCAAGTAATGTTGGTTGACTATCTGTTCTTACTTGCCCTTGCACTGGTGCTTACAGCTAGCCATCTCTGTTGATTTTCATAAGTTAGCTCACAACTATTTCACTGTGGGTGAAAGGACAAATGAGGAAAATACTTTTCATATGACTTACACCTTTGCAAATGCTTAAACCTTTATGTAGATAGTTGAAGACAATGCCGTTATTCAAGTGAAGGTGGTTCTAAAACATTTCTCCAAACTTTTCCATGTATACTAATAAAATGAAATAGATACAACAAGCTTTATACTAATTTTTTTGTTGTTACAGCTGGGCATGGTGGCTCACACTTGTAATCTAGTACTCTGGCAGACTGAGGCAGGAAGATCTCAGGTTCAAGCCTAGCCTGGGCAACTTAGTGACTTAGTGAGGCACTGTCTCAAAATAAAAGGATTGGGGAAGTAGCTCAGTTCCATCCCTAATAAGTCCTGGGTTTACTCCGCAAATACTAAAAAAAAAAAAAAAAAAAAAAAAAAGTAGGTGTTTTTTTTACTTGGTAGCTTTTCTAGATAAATTCTTTCTGTTTCTAATTATTTTGGCCTAAGTAAGGTAATAAGGCTTTAGTAATATAACTGGCAAGAATAGAATTGCTTTATTAAAGAACTGCTTCTTCTGCATTGCATGTTAATTGACATTTGCTTTTAAAACCACTGTGATCAGAAAATACTGTCTTTGAACTCAGTATCTCCACTTAGCTGTAAAAATACTTCTCAGAACAGTGTTCCTTATTAAAATATTGCACGTTTGCTTTGTGCAAAACAGCTGAATTGTCAGACTGGTTGTAGAGTCTGGATAGTCTCTGACAATCTTTAATAGAGGAAGTTAATGTTTGTCATAAATGTTTTCTCCCTGGACCTAGTAGTGGCTGAGGAACCCAGTCCACAACAGAATTATTTTGGGTATAGATCATTAAATCCCTGCAGCTTGTTTTCTGGAGCCAAGTTTTTTTCTTCTGTTTGCTTGAAGTTTCTAAGTCCTTGAAATGCATTTCTCTCTTAGCCTAATGCATTATCTAAAAATTTGTCTCAGGTTATTTTTTTCTTTACTTCTTTTTATTGGTCTTGAGAAAACTGCATCTGCTTTGTCTTTCTGCTTAGGAAATGTTTGTAGTTAGACTTTTGCTTAAAAAGCTTAGTCTGTATTAAGGTGATGGAACTTAGTCTGTATTAAGGTGATGGGAATTTTAGGTCGTGAAATCAAGATTAACACTTAAAATGTAGGTTTGCTTGAAACTTACTATTTTATGAAGCAAGTGAGGGAAAAATCAGATTTTCACATTTTATAATCCAACTTGTTTTTGTTTTTGTTTTTTGTGTTGGTCAGGCTGGCCTTGTACTCACTATATAGTGCAGGCTGGCCTGGAACTCATGGTGATCCTCCAGCCTCAGCCTCCCATGTGCTGGAATTATAGGCATGTTGCACCCTGCCCAGCTTTAGAATTTAATACTTAAAAATATAAATTAAATTTAAAAAACCAGGCTTTTTGTTGCTTATTTAGCAAGTTTGATAATGTAGGAAATGGTAAAAATACTTTTTCGTTATTTCCTGCATGGAAACACTTTTCCTGTAAAAATTTGAACGCTTGCATGGAGAACATTTTTAATCATTTTTCACTTTCCGCAAGATTATGCTTTAGTATTATTTAGAACAGGGCCTGTCCTGGCCTTTGTCATTTTTATCACTTTTGTTTCTTACCTTCTTGCACGTGCGCCTTGTCCAGCCAACGTGAAGCATAGCTATAGGGGCCTGGCTGCAGGATTGTTTGCTGAGGTCCATTTTTCTGTGGAAAGAATGGTTATTACCAGGGAAGGTTTTCCTTTTGTTTTACTTGCTATCCAGATGCTGCTCAGACTCTCGCTCTCGCACAGGATCACAGTATGGATATTCCAAGTCAAGACCAACCGAAGGTAAAATCACCACACGGTGACTTCTTTTGTTGTACAGAGTGGCCCCTTCTCTGTACCTGTGGATCGTGAACTCCCAAGGCCTTTCCCTTGGTGTGGTAAGAATTTTGCAAGAAAAGTTCTTGGGAGTTCACAGACCAGGGACAGAGTGAACTTCTCTGTTCTGCCCATAACAGAGTTCCAGTCTCTGAATCTTTCTTTGGGATGTAGCACTTCTGTTCTTCAGTTCTTCCAGTTGCATTTTTTTGGGGTTTGTGTGTGCCTCTGCAAGTGTGTATGTGAGAGAGAAAGAGAGCAGTCTTGTGTCTTCTTGTGTCTATATAGGTATTGGCAAACTGCTTTACATACTATATTAGATTTTAGTAGGCTTGTTGCAGTTAAGCTTGTGTCAGGCCGCTTCCTAACTTTTCCTCAAACCTGAAGAAGCTTTATGATCATCTTGATAGATGTTGGAGGTTTCACAAGTTTTTTGCATTATGCCTAATTTTATAGTAGGCTGTAGGCTTTATATAAATAGCCTGTTTTTTAAGATTTTGGCCTTTGTGCAGAGGATTTTTTTCTCCCTTGTAGGTGTGGGTTTCTCCTAGCTCTGCTCATGGTGGGTTGAGAGGTGTTGTGTTGCTTTATTTGATGACTGTTGTGAACTCCAGAGTTCTCTTTCTGGTGCTTAACCCATTGTGTTGCACACTAACTGGTGAGCCAGAGTGGAACTGCTACATCCCCTGGTCTCAGTCGTTTCTGTTGCACTGATGGGCAGCTTTCCCTTCTTTCAGCAAAGTGCGCAGGAAGGTTCCAGTCCCAGGAAAAGAGCCGAAGAAGGTGATGGTCACACACTGCCTACCTCACAACATAAACACAGAAATTCTACAGGAGGTAAGTTTTGGATTAAGGGTATATAGGCTTTTTTTTTCTTCTCTTTTTCTCTCCCTCCCTCCCTTCCTTGGGTTGATTATTTCTACAAATGGTATCTAACCATGTTAAGTATTAGCTGTAATAAAGACCATTTTAGAAACTTACGTAGAAAACTTCAAAAAATAATGCTGTCTCTTTGCATTTGCATATGTCACACTTCTCTTTTTTTGGGGGGGAGGTGTTTGAGACAGGGTCTCCCTGTGCAGTTCAGGTTGGCCTTGAGCTCACTTTGTAGCCCAGGCTGGTCTCAAACTCACAACGATCCTCCTGCCTCAGCCTCCTAAGTGCTGGGATTACAGGCATGGGCCACCACGCTTGGCCATGTCACACTCCTTGTTCTTTTCTGAACACCTTTTTTCAGCCTAGTCACCATGTTAATTTGAAGATGGTAGTGTTTGCCTAGTCCATGATTACTTGGACAGTGTATGACCCTTTTATTAACTAGTATGCTTAGTTTAAAGTAGCTCTACATTTGTCAGTTTATCCCTTGGTGAATTTTCTATATACATGGTTTCACAGCTGCCTTGATTATTTTAATCTTAGTACACCGGTATATATTTGATATGGTTAGAATTTTTATCTTGGTTTGTATTTACCTTTTGAGGGAAAGGCTAATTTTTGCAGATTTTGAAGTTTGCAAAAAGTGACAAATTATATTCAGTACCACAGAGCCAAGAATAAGGTATAGTAAGCCTAGTACTTCTTTGGCCTTAGCTGGTAGTCACCAGATCTTTATCACCCTGTTAGTTGCGGTTTATTGAAGCTAAATGAGTTAAGTGATACTTTAGAAGTTCTCCAGAATCCCACTTTTTATACATTATCTTCTAAAGTATGCTTTTTTAATGTATAAGATAATAAATTTCCCAAAGGCAGTTTATGACATGATAGTTTCTAGTCTAGGTACCTGTCTGCTACTTGGATCAAGGCAGGTTGGGCCTCTGACTATATCCCAGAAAGTTATGGTGCAGAAGTTTTTTTATATGTTTAAGTCACATTGAATTAGTTTATCATGCTGGATTGTTTCCTTCAAAGTGCATTTGAACAAAAGTTGAATTTTGGGCTTTGTATTCATTTTGAAACTATTGCAGTCTGTATGTATAAAATTAAATATGTAATTTTGTTTATTGGAATGCAGGTCTTTCCTTACTTTCTGTCTAAAAGGCTGCTTAAAGTATAAGAATAAGGAGCTGGGGATTTAGCTCAGCGACAAAAGCGCCTGCCTGGCAAGCGCAAGGTCATGAGTTCGGTTCCCGGTACCGGAGAAAAAACCAAAAAAAAAAAAGTATAAGAATAGACAATAAATACAAGAGCAGTCAGGTCCAACAACTATGTAGTGTTTGATGGTAATTTGAAAATCAATTGTTTAGAATTTTCAGGAAGGCCTATAGATTGGACAAAATTTTTTATTTGTGTAAAAATGACCTATTTACATTCCATTCACAGTAAATTATAGGGCTTGCATACATGAGCATAACTTCAATATGATGCCATCTCCAGAATTTGGCTTTTGACCATTTTAGTGATAAGTAAAACAGTAGTTGAAGTTCCCATGTGCACAGATACATTTATAATAAGTAGGAACAACATAATTTGTCAGTAGATAGGATAACCTTAGGTTGTGTCAGGGATCTATTTATTGCAGAAATCTTTTCAGCCATATGTACCTCACTATATTTAAATTCCTGTGATTGCCATTGGCAAGCCTGGGGCATTGAGAAAAGATAGAAGAGAGTGAGAAAGTAGGAGAAGCATAAAATACAAAAAACAAACCTGGAGGGTGAGAAGAAAAAAAAAGATTTTGTGTGGTAGCAGCAGACTTGTGTTAGTAACTACCTGGAATGTGGTTTACATGTATAGTATAATATCTTTTGCTTGAAACACATTGGCAGGAGGCTAAATATTTGCGACAGTTCTATAAACTTAACTCTAAAAGACCCTCTTGACCCAGGAAGGATATATGTATGTGTGTGTGTATTTGGACAACCTAGAGTTTAGTATTTATAACAGTTGTTACCTACTAAAACATAAATTATTGAGAAGTGTCCCACATGATGTATAAGTAAGAATGCCTTGATAACCTTGTGATTGCCTGTTAGGTTTGTACCACTCTGCTTTGATCTCAAGAATGAGGCTACTATGCTGTTTCTATTTGTAGTCCAGTGGGTCAAGCCGTTATCTGATATCATACAGTCTACAGTGGTAGAAATACTTACTGGGCTGGGGATGTTGCTCAGTGGTAGAGCACTTACTTAACATGTACAAAACCCTAAGTTCAGTCCCCAATACCATACACACACACACACACACACACACACACACACACACACACACACGCATGCACGCACCAGTTATTAACCACGTAGAAATCCTTTTGGAATAATACCATTCATTGCTCAGATGGTTTTAAAGTTTAGGTTCTTTGATAAGTGAATATCTACTTTTAGTCTCATTATTTGCTAAGGAAGTCTAAGTAGGAGAAGGTTTGGGCTCTTCCACTAAGACAGATACTTGATTTTTGGTTCATTTGTACTGAGAGTAGGAATTTTTGTTTTACCTATTTTATAGAGTTTGTAAATATTAGTTGTTCTTGAAGGAGATCCTTGGCTTTCAAATATTGTATATGTAGTTATTCTTTTCATTTAACTTCTATAGATGAAGACTTGATAGAAAATTTAACCCAAGAAGAGACTTCTAGGCTGGACCTTGGGTTTGAGGAGTGGGATGTGGCTGGCCTCCCTTGGTGGTTTCTAGGAAACTTGAGAAGCAACTATACACGTAGAAGTAATGGCTCAACTGATTTACAGACACATCAGGTAAATTTCACATTTGAAGGGGGACTTTCTTTGGTTACTCAGTATATGTTGTGTTCTCTAAGAATTCTTACTCACTGCTTTGTCTTTAAATACTATCTATGTACATTGGAGGCCCAAATCTATATCTCTATGTCCTGAGTGCTCCCCCATATGCCGGAGTTTCATATCAGGTTCCCTACTTAGCACCTCTACTTTTAGGGGATTTGACATTTAACATGAGCTCTTTTTTTTTTTTTTTTTTTTTTCAGACTGCGGTACTCCACTTCCCGTTTTTGTACTCGTATTATCTGCCTTGTTCTTCCGACCAAACACAAGGAGGCACTGATTTCTTTCTCTCTCTTTTTTTTTTTTTTTTTTTTTTTTGGTCTTTTTGAGACAGGGTCTCACTTTGTAGTTCAGGCTGGCCTTGAGCTCACTTTGTAGCCCAGGCTGGCCTCGAACTCACAACGATCCTCCTGCCTCAGCCTCCTGAGTGCTGGGATTACAGGCATGCGCCACCACCCCCGGCCTTCTTTCTCAACCATAGGCCACATTTGGATTATCAGCTTTTTATCCAAAATTTATTGTTTTGGCTACTTCTACTGTCATAACCTAATTCAAGCCATCATTCTTTTTCAGACTGGTATTGCAACATCCTTATCCAGTGATTCTGTTTTTATTCTCGTTCATTTTAGTAGTTGAGTCCTTTCAAAGAGTAAAAGGTATTTTTTTGTCTTTGGTTTATCTTTGCGAGGCAGTTTATGTGATTCCTGCTGGCCTGGAACTTATTATGTATCCCAGGTTGGCCTAGACCTTGAGGGGGTCCTCCTGTCTTAGCCTCTCAAGCCTGGGGGTTACAGGCATGTTCAACCATGCTTGGCAAATCTTTTTAAATGGGTAATTTATATCAGTGTCCTATTTCTTATTCTTCAGTGAGTTCAGAAAGCAAGTACAGTAAAATCTAGACTCCTTACCATAGCCGTAGTGGAGCTGGGCCCAGCCTGCTGCCTTGCCTTCTATCGTTACTCACTGCATGCCCTCCAGACACACCAGGCTTATTTCTGACCCTGTAGCCCAAAATTTTTCTCACCTTCAGGCAACTTAAATTTGGTTTTTCTTCTTTCTAGAACATTCTTCCCCCAAATCCTTTCATTTTCTTCTGTGAGTTAGGTCTTGGCTCCCATGTGCTGTCCTTAAAGAGGCTGTGCCTGAGTGCCAGTACTGTCATGCTGCACACTGTGGTGTCCACTCTGCTGATGTTTGTATCTGTGCAGTTTCAAGTGGTAGCCTTGGCAAAACCCACCCCTAATTAAAATAGTTCCTTCCTGGCCACTGTGCATTGTGCTCTTTTATCTTAATCTTTATTCTGTGCTGCACTTTTCATTTTGTAAAAATATTATCAGTACTTTATGTATGCATTTATTGTCCATTTACACTCACTGAAATGTAAGGCCAGGGCTTTTGCATTATTTACCACTCTATTCCCTTGCCTAGTACCTAGAACAGTTTCTGATACATAATAGGTATTTAGTAAGCATTTATTGAATAAATGAATGGGGATATAACAATGGCCAAATGATGAGTAGTTTTATGAATGTTGTAGAAATGCATGTCATAAAATGTTTTTAGATAAATGCAGAAAGTAAGTTTTTGAACATTTTAAATTGCTTAAAACTTCAGAAGATGTTGAGACTAAAGGTTTGGATTACCATCCGTATTTCTTCAGCAAGCAGTCATTGACCATTAGAAGGAAGACTATGCCAGAAGTAGTGGAATGTTTTCTGGATTTTTAGAAGGCTTCCTGTGGAAAGGAATACCAAGAATGAATTTTGTTTACTTAAGAATTGAGAGTCCTTAACCTTTTAAAATAGTACTATTTCTGGATTACTATTACAATAGAAAATTTCCTAGCATGCACAAACCCTGGGTTCCATTCCCAATACCTCCCCCATTCAAAAAAAAGAAAAAAGTAAAAGAAAATTCCTAGTAGTTAGGTGCCAAGTAGGTATCTGTTGAGGTTGAGGGAAGGTGAAATGTTCTTCGGAGATGTAATGTGAAGACTATAGTTTTGGGTTCTTTTGTGTTGGTTCGGCATCTCTGATAAGTCACTAACTATAGAGGCTCACGTTTGTTTTTCTCTATTAGGATATAGGTACTGCCATTGTTTCAGATACTACAGATGATTTGTGGTTTTTAAATGAGTCAGTATCAGAGCAGTTAGGTGTTGGAATAAAAGTTGAAGCTGCTGATACTGAACAAGCAAGTGAAGAAGTAGGGAAAGTGAGTGACAAAAAGGTACGTTTTGGAAAATTCAATGTTCATTGTATTTATGTGTTCATAGTGTTAATTTCTTCTGATCTCTCTCTCTGTACAACAAGTTGTATAATCTCTTTTAGTTTTTAATCTTACGTGTATATCGTTTTCAGTTTTACACTAAGTTAATCTAGGCTGCCTTAGAAGTAAGATAGAGTGTCATGGTGAAACTCCTTCTTCATCAGAAGCTACAAGCTACTCTTTTCCTTACTGCTTACCTACTGTCCTACTGTGAAGTGTTTTTTTTTCCCTTCAGAATCTTGCTGTGCTGAAAAGGCAAGGTTCTGAATTGTCTTAACATTTTCCATAACTAAATGGGAAGGTAGATGATTTCCTTCTACCTACTCTAGAGTTGGGAGAAAAGAGGGAAATTAGAATCTTGAGTATAATATGGTGTGAATACACCAAAATGAAGTCATAATAGGCTGTATGTTCATGTCTCAAAAGAGATTGGGCAAGACACCTAGTGCCCAGCATATAGATTTTCAGTAAACAGCTATTGAATAAATACTGGGCGGGGACAGGCACGCCTAAGTTGAGTTGTCTTATTCATCCATTCATTTATGAGAGTTACATAGGAATTTGGGTAGTTTGCTATATAGCTTGGGTTCTCTTAGACTAGTTGGAAGGAAGGAATGCTGGTGGAAGAATAAAGACAAAAGTGACATTTGGGAACTTACATAAAGAGCTGGGGTTAAAATACTTTTGTGAGAAAGTTGTTAAATAGAGGTTCATAATTGTTTCCTAGCTGTTTTTATTCCATTTATTGGACTGCAAAACTAGAGTTTTAGGTTTTAGAATTTTAAATTCTAAATATTCCTTGACTTTTGTTTCCTGGACTATGGGGAAGGTTCTTATAAGACAACCGGAGTAACAACTAGTTTTACTTTTGAATCTGAAAAGTTTTTAAATGGTTTATTTTCATTCTTTTATGGTCTACCTAGATTCCCAAGATGAAAAATTTCTCAGTAACTTGTAGCATTCCTATGCTAATAATATTTATTTTCTTGAAAGTTGTAAATTTGGGTACTCTTTCCCTTCTGAAGGTAGAGGATACTTGGTAACCCTTCTGGATGCTTTTCGACCATTTGTACCACTAAAATGCTAGCTAAATGTCCACAGAATCACATTTGGTCTCGCATTTACGCTATCGCATTTTAAATGTTAGTGATGGAGGCAGAATGTGATTTTTAAACTGAAGCCGTTTTGTCTTTTTGCTTTCAGGTAATAATGGCCTCAATTAAAACAGATAAACTTTAGTAATGAGGTGTCTTTGCCTTCACAGATGACTGAAGTGGGGAAAGATGATGACCTTGAGGACTCCAAGTCCTTAAGTGATGATACTGATGTAGAAGTTACCTCTGAGGTATGAACACCTGGTCAGGGCTCTTTTGCCCTGGCCCCATATCTTTAGGTGATATAATCCCAGCAGTTCTGTTGTGCCAAGGAATGCCATTTTTTCCTGTTTCTATCTACTTTTCCTAGCTGCTAAGAGGTACTGGGTTCTTTACATCTTGTTAGGGGTTTTGTTGGAATTTGAGAGGAGAAAAGGATAATTTGGTCTAATTTCTGCCCTTTCCTCTTGGAAAGATGACCTCAATGGCTCCATGTCCCTGTTATCAAAACTCTTCGGTTTTAATACAGTGGAGATACACAGCTTATTCAAAGTACTCCTTAATAATTTTTCCCCCCTAAACACCTCTCTGTAATCCCAAGGACAGACTTGTAGGCTATCTAAGATTCGGTGATGAGTACAATACAAAAAAATTTTTGTCAGTGTTTTCTTACAAAGTAGCAAATGACAGCTTAGTTCACAGATTACTATGAAGGAAGATTTGGTATTAGACTCTTAGGTTATAGGAATGATTTATTACAGATTGAGAGCATAAGCCCAGACCCAAGTGTATACTTTGCTTTTCCCTTTTCATGTAATTTTCTTATTTTCCTTTTAGCGCTGTACTTTCTATAACTGACTGACTCTGGGAGAAGAGTGGTCGAGCATGGATAAGGAGACCATATTTTGCTGTTTGAGAATAGAAACACTTTTAGGTTGTCCTGGTGTTGATCTTCTCTGTTCCTTCTGCACTGCTGGTTTTTTTTTTGTTTTTTTTTTTGATACTGGGAATTGAACTCAGGACCTTGGGCTTGCCCTGCAGGCACTTATGCCACTGAGCTATATATCCCTGGCCCTGCACTGCTGTTGACCATCCTAATTCACTGCAAATTGTCTACCTGTGCATAGCTAAGTAATAAAGTATAATATATTGGTCCAATAAGTGTGCTTGACCATAGTACAAACAGCAGAGATAAATGTTTCCATCTTAATCAGACTTCCATGGCTACTTGGGCCCAGAAAACCTATTAAGCAAATAGCCTATATTTTATTGAATCAGAGATACCACTGAGTTTAATAAGCCTTATTATTTTATGTACTATTAAGAGAGAAAAAGTGTTGCGAATTAAACTGCAACATGGGGGCTGGGGATTTAGTTCAGTGGCACAGTGCCTGCCTAGCAAGCACAAGGTCGTGAGTTCGATTCCTGGTACTGGAAGAAAAACAAAAGAAACAAAAACAAAAAACAATAAACTGCAACATGCCATCAATTACAAATTCCAACTGTTCATGAAGTTCCTTTGAGTATAGCATTTCCTATGAGATCAGAGGATCATAAATTGGTGAGAGTGTTTTGTGACTCTCTGGGGAAGATCTTAGTTTAACAAATGGTTGTATCCCTGCCTCTCCATGTAGAGTGACAGTTGAGTTATGATTTCTAAACTTGAAGGGCTTGGTCTCTGTCCTGAAAGAAATGAAGTCTGTCTGTGTCAAATCATTGATCCGGTCAAAAGCAGGCATTTACCCACATTAAATACACATGAGTTGTTCCAGGTAGCTACCTTTGAATTAAGGAAGGCATTTAAAATTTATTGAGTTCTGGTGTCCTCTAATTTGAATATTTGAGAAGTAGGAGTAAAACTAGTTGGAGTTCAAGGATAAGTACTCTCTGAAAAAGAGTATGTGATTTAGGCCTACAGTCTACCTGTGATCCTCAGAGCAGTAGGAGAACATTTGTAAAATTGAGTAGTTTTCAAATCCCATTTTAGTTTTAGTTTCCTCTTTGCCAAGTTTTATTATTTATTAATTAATATGAAAAAAAATATTATCTTGTTCTCCTTTGTTGAAAGTGTAAATTGTGCATAGGAAAGTGCTCTGAAGAAGGTAACAAGGAAAACAAACAATAGAAATTTCACCTGAAGTGGATGGGAAGCCAAAATAATTTAGCTTTTTTCCCCCTCCCTGTACTAGAGATTAAACCCAGGGCCTTTGTGTTGAGATACATCCTTAGCCTTCTTTTAATATTTTTATTTTGAGGCAGGGTCTTGCTAAGTTGCTCAGGCTGGACTTGAACTTTCAGTCCTCTTGCCTCAGCCTCTCTCAGAGGGCTGGGATTAGGGAATGCACTACCACATCTGGCTAGTCTTTCTTTTTAACTTTCTTAAAAAATAGCTGTATCAGAATTTGGCTTGAAAAATGCAGTTGTGGCACTATCAGTATACAGCTTCCAAAGACTTTCTTCCACATTGCTATGGAATATATTCAAATACTAGGCTGGATCACAGGTATGGAATGTCTGCCCTGTTGCTAGTTCAGTGTGATGATAACTTGGCCCTTCCTCCTAGCGTCATGGTCACTGCCGAGTGTTAATTAGCTGTGTTTGTCTTTGTAGGACGAGTGGCAGTGTACAGAGTGCAAGAAATTTAATTCTCCAAGCAAGAGGTACTGTTTCCGTTGCTGGGCCTTGAGGAAGGATTGGTATTCTGATTGTTCTAAGTTAACTCATTCTCTCTCCACATCCGATATCACTGCTATACCTGAAAAGACGGAAAATGAAGGAATTGATGTCCCTGATTGCCGAAGAACCATTTCAGCTCCAGTTGTTAGACCTAAAGATGTACCTGTCAAGGAAGACAGTTCCAAACTGTTTAATCCCTGCAGCTCAGTGGAATTTTTGGATTTGGCTCACAGTTCTGAAAGCCAAGAGACCATCTCAAGCATGGGAGAACAATCAGACAGCATTTTTGAGCAGAAAGTAGATATAGAAAATATGGAGGATTGCCAGAATATCCTGAAGCCTTGTAGTTTATGTGAGAGAAGACCACGAGACGGAAACATTATCCATGGGAGGACAAGCCATCTCACCACTTGTTTTCACTGTGCTAGAAGACTGAAGAAGGCTGGGGCCTCGTGTCCTATTTGCCAGAAAGAGATTCAGTTGGTTATTAAGGTTTTTATAGCATAACCGAATCAGTTGTGAAATACTAGAGGACCAGGTCTCTACGTCAGTATTGAGCCTGTCTGCCAAGTATGACCCATTCCCCATGTTTATTTATTCACGTAAACATCTGTGTTCTGGGTCAGTTTTGCTTATAAACTTACGGAATTTGAGAATGAGTAATGTAGAACTAGACATCAGTTTGGAGACTTCATTAACATAAAGATAAAAATAAAAATAAAAACACATAAGCTACTTCATTCTCCAAAGATGAAGGTCTGAGAGGGAACAACTACCAGTATGAACTTAAAAGTATATTTATTCATTCACTTAGCAAATTATCTGAAGACTAATTCCTTCTTTAGTTCATTTTGTTTCTTTTTTTTTTTTTTGTACCGGGAATTGAACCCAGTGCCTTGGCCTTGCCAGTCAAGCACTGTACCACTGAGCTACATCCCTGGCCTTAATTTTGTTTTTTACCGTCCTGTTAATATAATGTTCTGCCATCAAAATCCAAGATAGTTGTTAGAAAAATACTAGCGCTAACACTGAAAAAACAAATTATCTGACTCATCAAATTGAGAAGTGCTGTGAATCACTTTGTGTTGTAGTAAGGCTGTTTAGTTCTGCTAAGCCAAAAGGGAAAGTATTTTTTGTTTTTGGTTTTGTTTGCTTTTTGGGTTCTGGGGATCCATGCAGGGGCTTGAGTATGTGCTGTACCATTAAGCTACATTCTTTATTGTTCTTATGAAAGTCAGGATCTCACTATGTTAGCCAGGCTGCCTTGAACTGATGCCCTCCTCCCTTAGTCTTCTGAGCAGCTGGGACTACAGATTCATGTCACTGTGTCCAGCTCAAGAAAAAAGTTGAAATATAAGCAATTTCTTCCTGTATGCATTAGTCTATAGTTATCAAACAATTTTGTATCATACCCTTAAAATAATTTTAGAAACTATAGCTTTTTTTTGGTAGGCTTCCTATGTATTTCATTTTTGGAAACGTGGTAAATTAATCAGTACCATAGGTCTATACATTTTGTTTTTTGTTTTTTTTTTGAGACACAGTCTTGCTCTGTGTAGTTCAGTTTGGCGTTGAACTCACTGTGTAGCACAAGCTGGCCTCAAGTTCACTGTAATCCTCCCGCCTAAGCCTCCCAGGTTTTGGGATTATAGCTGTGTGCCACCATGCCCAGCTATATCAGATCATTCTTATCATTTGTTTTGCTTCTCCTGTTCATTACAGCACTGATGGCCCTGTTAGGCCTTTGATGGTTGAGCACTGACACCCCGGATCCTGTTAAACCCATCACATTTAAGTTTCTCAGTTGAGTAATTGCAACCCTGAGAAAAGTACCTTATGCACATTTTAAAAAAATCTAGGTATAGTTAACATATAATGAAGTGTTTCTTTTGGATGAGTTGGAGAAATCCGAGTAACCATTCCTAGTTACAGAACATTCCTGTCTCCCCAAAATATCCCCTGTATCCTTTCTCAAGCAGTCCTTCATTTCGTGCCTCTCATCCTAGATTAATTTCCTTTTGCACATCTTTGATATTTAAATTTTTAAAATTGAAGTACTTACAAAGAATATACCATCAAAAATTATGCATATAATATATATGCCCTGATCAAACTGGGCATGACAGCACCTGTCTGTAATTGCAGCACTCTAGGAGGCTGAGACAGTAGGGTCACAAGTTCAAGCCCCGCCTGGGGCACCTTAGTAACAGACCTTAAAAAGCGGGGGAGGGGCTAGGGGTATAGCTCTGTGTGAAGCCATGGATTCAACACCCAGTACTACAGAAAAAGAAAATAGTCATACCTATAGATTTAGCTGAAAGCCAGTCATATAAACTGACAAAAGCTGTTTTCATTTCAGAATCAGCTAAATTGGACTAAACTTAGTCAGAAAATGTCTCAGTATATACATGAGCATGTGATTCTTAGCACAGCCTTCTCAGTTATCACTTCTTAAGAGCACAGAATTTTTAACCATACTCCTCTGGTTTCTTTATCTGGTCTCTTGGGAGGCCTCCAGGTGTTTTTTTGGTCTCTGCCTCTGGAGTTCACACTGAGGCAATGGCCTACAGTAAGATTCACATGAGTAAGGGATTACAGCATTTGTGGCAAAGGAAGTAATTAAGAGAAATGAATCTAATTTTCTGCAGTCATCTTAAACCACATCAATTTTAGAAAAATACAGAAATTGAAGATATTCAAATTGATTTCTTTATTGCCATTTATGTCTGCTTAACCCATGGGAAAATTGTCGTGTATCCCAGGGATGTGATTTATATTATTGAGGACAAAGGTCCTAGGAAGTTGGCTGTGAGTTCTAAGAATCTCCTGGGTTGTTGTTAAAAGTGCCCAAGACCCCAGAGACTGATTATCCCTATCCTAGAAGGGAGGGCTTTTCTCTCTTGTTCTTGTAGATCCAAGACAGAAAGACAGAACAGGATGCCGGGTCATATCTAGTTTTAAAAGAAAAGCTTTCTTAAAATTTCCTGTTGTTTTTTTTTTTGTTTGTTTTTTGAGACTATGTTGTCTATGACCAGACCATCCTGAACACGCCTGATCTTGTCTGAGACTATGTCATGCAGGCTGGTCTTGAACTAACTCACATAGCCCAGGCTTGCCTCAAGCTTAACAGCAATCCTCCTGCCTCAGCCTCCCAAATGATGGGATTATGAGTGCACTACCATGCCTGGCAAATTTTCTGAATTTTGAAACTATAAAGCACTCAGTTTTTTAGTTCATGAAGCCACATGACATAGCTAATGGTAGAGGTATTACTAAAATCCCAATGTCTTAACTAGTAAATCTTTTAAAAATACATGTTTCTCCTATCCACTGTTTTGTTTTTTTGTAGTGGTCCTGGGGATTGAACCCCATGTTTTCTCCCTAAGCTACATCCCCAACCCTTTTTAACTTTTTTGAGACAGGGTCTCACTGGGTTGACCAGGCTGAGTTCAGTCGTTCAGTCTTCCTGCTTCATCTTCCCAGAGTGCTGAGATAGCAGCTGTGTGCCACCTTGTTTATTAAATACTTTAAATGTGGGACCTGTTGAACACGGGACAACTAAGAAGCTTAAAATACAGATCTTTAATAATTAGTACTAGAGACTGGTTTGTAGCCAAAATGAAACTTTAGAGAGAACAGTGATTTTTAATACTTCTCCTAAAAGAGAAAGACTCTGTAAATGTCAGGTTTAGCTCATCAGAACATTACTTGCCCCATTGTGAGAGCAAGTAAAGGTAACAGAGAGACCTGAACTTTTTGTCCTGGTTGAAGCTCACACTGCTGTTTAGGCATTTAAGGATGAGTGTTTTTCCCCTTATAAGCAAAACTATCATTCCTTTTAGTCAGATTGTTTGTGAGAAGACAGTGAATGGTCTGAAAGTATAGAAGGTTAATTTTCTCCCTGTCTCCTCCCCGCAGCATTGTCCTCCTAAGAGATAGCTGTCAATTGTTTGATTTTTATTAGTCAGGCACTGTAAGTGTTAAACTGTTTTATTAGTCAGGCATTGTAAGTGTTAAACTGGAGTGCTGAGAGAATTAGGGAACTGCAGTTATGGCTGCAATCCCTTCATGTAAACTTGTGGGTTTTTTAATGTAAGAACTACACATTTATGTTTGTAGGTATGTATTGGTACTGTTGGTACATCTTTACCTCGCACGAAATCCCTGTAGGCCACTCAACTTCCTCCTTTTCCTGTTTGCTCACTTTGATTTTCACCATCCCTCTTAGTACCAAGTACTTTGCTTAGAAGATGTAAGTGTAAATTGTTTTGTTTTATGCTGCTGGGGATAATGTTTGAGCCAAACCTTGTGTTTACTTGCAGGAAACTTCAAACCATCTTCTTAGTCCATTTTTGCCCACCCACCTGAACTGGGGACCCCTCGCCCCCGCTTTTTGAGCCATCATCTTGCTAAGTTGAACTGACTTGGCTGGACTTGTACTTGTCCTCCTGTGTCAGCCTTTCTGGAGTTAGAGTCATGTGTCACCACAGCCAGATGGTTTTGTTCTTTTTTCTTTTTTAAAAAATTTTAAAATTTATTTTATTTTATTTTCATTTTTTATTTTTTTGAGAAAGAGTCTCATTATGTAGTTCAGGCTAGCCTTGGATTCACTGTGTAGCCCAGGCTGGCCTTGAATTCACAGTGATCCTCTTGCCTCAGCCTCCTGAGTGCTGGGAATACAGGGGTGTGCCACCACGCCTGGCTTTGTTCTTTTTTCATTGTCACCAGGTTACAGATACTTTTACTCTCTGCTACTAAAGTAAGTCACAGTTTGCCTATGAAATGTTAAAAAAGTTTACTTCTGTAGCATATACTCCCATTGCCTTTTAGCTTTGATGGTGGCAACATAATGCTGATTTTCCAGAGTCAGTACCAGCTTGCCTCTTCTCAGCATTCTACTCAGTTTGTCACGGTCTCTCTCCTTTTATTTTCAGATGTCTGCATTTGGACATTAAATTGTGTGCCCCTGGTTTGTATGGCCCTGCTTCAGGTGAAATCTTGATTGTGAGGATGGAGCTTTTAAAGTAGGTGTTAGAGTTCAGCACGTTCTGCTGCATCGTGCCATAGACTGAATAATGAGACCACACCACATGAGCATTACAGTTCTTATCGTAAATGTAATTTAGGTTAGTATTTATGCTCGTGTTACTTTGGACAAAAGGTTTAGAGAAGAGATGATAAATCATTAGAAGAGTGTTTCCTAGATTACAGCATTACTCATTCTCCTTATAGTATACTTACTAGTGATTGTATGCTTTTGTATTTAGTACTTAAATCAGACTCAAAAACTGTAGCTGAAGCCTTTAACCTGGTATCACCATTTTCCCAAAGTCTTGTCTAGGGACAGCCCAGGTTTCCAGTCGCAGGCTTGAGCAGTGCGGGGATCCAGCCAGGTCAGCCTCCAATCTGCCACAAGCTCCTCTCATGTAAACTGAGTCACTGCCAAGCACCTGAAATAATGGTGTTGTGTTTTAGTTATAATTTATTATACTTAGATATATGTAATACTTTGTAGAATATTATGTAGTTTGAGTTATTTTTAAAGACCATGGCAGTTTGTAACTTTTGTGTGTGCTCACTTGTGCAACATTGGCTTTGAAAAGTCACTCATGAGAAATTGGAGAATGTTCTTGGGTTCTACAAAGCTATTGTAATGTTACCTCTGTTCACTTTAGAAAGGTGGAAACTCGCTAAGCAGCTATTAGGTATTTTTTTTTTCTGCAGAGTTATGTGGA